TGGAATCCATGTATGCTGTAAACCTGCCTTCCTTAACCTGGTATCCTCTGAGCATTCCTGACTGATGTCATGCTGGCTGAGGCTGATGGGAGCTGAAATTCAAAACATCTGGAGAGCACCCCTTGTGTATCAACGGGTGAAATTCAATTTTACAAGCAAAAAGATAGAAAAGTCTTCAGCAAGGAGAGGAAAGACAGAGCAACACTGCTATATCAGTTTAGATAGGAAAAAAGCCCACACCTCCCAGCATGTCCCAGTTACTATACCTGGCTGGACCATACTGGGAGGTGTTGGACTTTTCCTGTCAAAATGTGCAGAGGATTGTGACTTGAATGTTTGATCTTAGATAAAATTTGTTGTGGGGTGGAAAGGTTTCCCAGGTATGTATGGAAAATGGAGAGAACAGGGAATTCTGCTCCTGAATGACACTTTAGTCCTACTATTGTCCAGATGTGTTGTAACAAGTGGCAACTGACAGTTCCAGTGGCAAGCTGATGAAAATGTAGCCCAAGAAGCTATGAATGTCTGACCATTGTTGACCATCAATTGTTAAGCCCCTAGAAGATGTTTCTAGTCAGAAGAAAGATGTTTATGTGTCTTACGAGGAAAGATTGATGGAACTGGACATGTTCAGTCTTGAAAAAATGATGATGGAGGATATGATAGTACTTTGTAAGTACGTAAAAGTTTGTTGTATAGAAGAAGGCCACAACTGGTTCCACATCATTGTCAAGAACACAAAACAACATACTTAAGTTACAGATAGGTTGATTTTGGTTGGACATCAAGAGATACTTCCTAACAGTCAGAGCATTCAGACAATGGAACAGACTACCTAGGAAGGTGTTGAGCTTTCCCTTGATGGAGGTGTTGAAGCAGAGACTGGATAGCCACTTGGACAGGAATGCTTTAAACTAGATTCTTGCACTGAATGTGGATTGCACTTGATGGCCCAAGTAGCCTTTCCCAGCTGTATGATTCTATGTTGAAATTATAATGCCATAAACAATACTATCATTCAGTGTGATCATCCAGCCTATATAACCTTCCTCTAAAATGGATGACCTGCTCTGGGCTACTCTGTCTGTCCAAATATACTAATTCAGGGACCTGTGTTGGATGCAGGAGTTAGAGCCTAGCCTGCCCACCCTCTAAAGTTATCAGCAGAGACCAAGGCAAAGACATTAATTAAGCAATGGCACAATATATGGAGCACCATTCTAGCCAAACAAGCAATTAAAATTAGTAAGAGGAAATAAGAACAGTAATCTTCTCCGAGAAACATAGTATTATCTCACTAGATACAGCAGGGGTGCCAAACCTCAGGCCTCAGCAAGTGGCCAAATCCCTTCTTCTAAGGATCTCAAAATAGTCCTCTGGAGGTCCCCAGAAGACCCTCCTCCTTTCACTTGTCACACCCTTTTCACCCAGTTCCTAAAAGATTGTTAGTTTTCCAGCCTTTGTCCCATTTTTTCCATCCTTCTACACAGTTTAAATGCCTATCCAAAGGTTTAGTTAGAGTAAGCTAAAATATGCTAGTATGTTTTGGTATTTCAGCCACCCCTTTTACATTGAGCTCTGTCCATCACTGGAAGAGCTTCTCCAAAATGGAGTTTAGCCCTCGGGTTGAAAGGAATTCTGCACCCCTGACATACAGAAACACAAGAGAGGCTAAAGTAGGCCACTTAGCATCTTCTGTGCTGACTTGAGAAGGTTCCACCATCCTTAAAAAAATATACATTTTTTAAATGTTCGCTTTTTCTAGCCATACTAATATTCTAGAGCCAGGGGCTATTATGATGTGCAAATGTACTGGGGATTTCCAAGTTGTGTGATCATTCTGTATGATGGAAAAACAGTTGCTGTAAATTTGCCTGAGCCGTGAACCTTCTATGTCTAGGTCACAGTAAATAAAATGAAATCAAACCACTTGGAGCTTTGCAGAGTTGCTAACACCACCAAATGAAATGTTCTGTGCTGGCCAAATCCAAGCGGTGGCTCTGAGGCTAACTTCAGATATGCATTTTGGGGGCTGGGGGGAGGCTGCAGATGGTTATGCATGTTCCCAGCATCTGTAACAGCTGCTTCATGAGTGAAACAGACAAAAGCAGAAAAACAAACTATTCCAAATGACTTGCTTGAAGGAAAAATACCCCTCCTCCATCCAACCAGTCAGAACATGGTAAAGAACGCACTCCTACACACTTTCCCTAGAAGTGTCAAATGTCACTGAATTTTGTGCTTTGGAATACCAGCCTGTACAAATGTAAACTGTAGCTGATTTCACTGTTAAAATTACTGCGATCAGTCTGTTCTTCATCCAAACAGATGTTATAATGGCTAGGATAATATCCCTCAAGAAATACCAGCACTCACTGCCCTCTAGTGTTATTGTGATGGGCTGTCAACACTGCAAAGAACCATTTCCACTTTCCTAAACTAACTTCACCAGACACAATTGTGCTGGTGCAATGGGGCTCTAATCATGTGATGCATAAGCATATCTCATTTGTAGCTACTTGGATCCTTAAATCTGAAAAGACTGTAGCTGAGCATTTGTGATTCTGCTCCCTGTGCTGCTATAATAGCAAGGTCAAGAGGAATCATACATTGTATGAGTCCTTGGTTTCTTTGCCCAGTTCAGCCAAGAAGGATAAAGAATTTACCTCAGACCTAGGCTGCATTACTAGGAAAATCAAGTATTTATAAGCAGGTTGGTCAAAGGAAGAGAAACCTTATCAAATTTCCCTTGTTCATGCAAAGGAAGAAGGCTACACTAAACTTTCTAATGTATTAAGTTGTACAGAAAAGCAGTGAGAGTTTACTTCCGGGAACTTTCAAATCATCCATCCCTGTGGGAATTCTTGAGCTGGAACAGTAAATTCCCTACACATTTTAAGAGAGCAGAACTCACTGAATGGCTGACTTTATGATGTATAAATTTAAGCTTTCAGATAATAGCAATAATTACCAGAGAAAAATAAGGAAATGCCTAAAGGCAGTAACAGTTACATTATCTGATTCCAAAAAGAAGTAACTAAGCAATGTCTCACACAGGATAATGCAATTTTATTAGGGCCTTTATTGAAACAGGAGGAATTGCATGCATGCACACAATTTCAGCACTCAATAATGGCCACAATGGACTGTCATATTATTATATCCAATGCATAATACATTACTGTTTATAGTTCCGTACATAGATGCCAAATACTATGATAAAACAAAGAAGTATGAAAAACCTTGAACCAAACTGCATTACAATATCACTCAACTGAATAATACCTAAAGTTAATTACATATTCCTTTGTACTAGAGTTATCAGATACCTCTCACTTCATACATTTAAACTGCAGTCCAGTACACCAGCCTTCCCAACCTGGTACCTTCCATGAGTTTTAGACTTCAGCTTCTATCACCCCCTGCAGAAAGATCAAGGATGCTGGAAGTTGTAATCCAAACCATCCAGGGAGCACTGTACTGAGGAAGGCTGCTATGCACACTTACCTGAGAGTAACTCCTGCTGAATTTAATGGAATTTATTTCTGAGCACAGGTACATTGGGTTGCACTAGTGGGGTGCAATCTAATCACCCCATGCAGATGCATGGAAGCCTCTGAACTTGGAAGTATACAGGCATCCAATGGAAGCCGTGAGCTGTGGCAGAGTTGAACTCTGCTGTTGCCACACCTTTCACTCTGTATTCTGTCTCGGTGGACATTTTCAGCTATCTGGATAAGGTATCAGGGAGCGGGAGGAAAGCTGACTGGGGAGCTAACAGTAATTGGTATTAAGCCCTTGGCCTCAGCCTCCTCCTCTCCCAAACTCCTCTCCTGTTTTTCCCCTCTCCAGTTGCACTAGTGGGAAGCAGTCAGTGCAATTCTCTTTGTATTGTTTGTCAGTGTGCAGGGCTCAGGGTCCCAGGTCTGAAACTGCAGGATCCCAAAGCTGGCTCAGCAAAACGGAAAAACAAAAACCTATAACCTCCCAGACAATGTCAAGAGGCCCTTACCATTTTAGCTAGGGAAGTGCATTTGTTTTAGTTGCTGAACATCAGTTTCTGATTTGTTACAATGACAATACAAATAGAAGAAATGAGTATTGTTCCTTTTGTTTCATTCACTGCTATTATTTCACTCATTAGTATTTACTCATTATTCATTAATTACTATTATTTTGTTTACTTTTCATAAAACACACTCTTGAAATTAACAAGAAGCATTGCATTGCATTGCATAGCTAACTGATACATACTAAAATGCCTGGAACATTCTGTAGAGAGAGGGAATTTTGGAGTTTAGCACATCTGGAAGACAACACAATGCAGAGGGCTGTTCTTTAAGAATATTTGCCACATTAGATGATTGCTAATCTTCATTCCAAAGCAATTTATTTGTCTTCAGGCTAGTTTGGCCTGAATATCAGTAAAGCTGCTGTCTTTCATACCTGTGCTACATGTGAATAAAGACAGAGCTAAGAAGCTAAGTTACTGTGTTTCATACAATTTCATACAACCTTTACATGGCAATATCTTCTTATACAGGATGCAAATGCCATTGCAGTTATACCCGTGCTAAAATGAATGTCTAAAGCAAGAATGGTTGATATAGAAATATACTGTCTGAGATGAGTTTTGGTAAAGTTGGCAGTGGCCACTAGGAAGACTTTCCAGCAGGAACCACCAGCCACTGCTGCAGAATGATTGACAGGGGAGGAAAAAGCCACCAGGAAACGGCTCTGAGGTAGGGAAGATCTTGGCAGCATTATGCAACCAAGTAGCTGTTGACTAACTTGGGTAATTGAGGTAGAGGGGACTAGTTGGGACAGTCATCAAGCACTCACATGTTTCTTGCTAAGATGCTTTCATTGCCATCTCTGGATGGCTGTGGTAAAGGTGAATTTTCATCTCCTCCCTTGTTAGTTCAAAGTGGCGGCTGATGGTTCCTGCTAGCCAGCCATCTCATCAAATGCGGCCAGACAAGGGTGTAACTGCAGCAAAGCTAGGCAGATTTGCATTTCACTGCCTTTAATACTGTATCCCATTTACTGTTCTTATGTTCCAGCTGTTGCTTTCTAAATTTATGCTGGAATAAATCATTTGTATCTTCATCCTCAGCTTCAGAGATGATTTCCATTCTTTGAACAATCAATTTTAGGAGGTCATGTTGTTTTTCCATAAGAGCTGCAATATCCTTAAGCCTAAAACATTAAAAACACATTGTTTTTATAATCTGGGTATTTAACTATTCACAGCAATAAAAGTTAAAATGTCTTTCAAGATATTTTGTTTTCCTACTTTGGAAAAAAATGATATTTCAACTAGTTTAGCAATGGGTTTTCTTATCTGAAGTTATCTTTCATCAGGAGAGGTGCACCAATCCACAAAAGAAAACAGAGGAAAAATGTATGTAAATTGATTATTTGCTTTAGAAGAATATGAGAGGGATTTCAGGATTGCTGCTCTTTAGCAAACCTATCTTAGAACTACTGTCATAGGAAACAAATGATATCCTGTTTTATGTCCTTATTTTGAAACATGCTGGCTGGGAATGATGACGTTTTAGTCCAAGACATCCGGAGACCAACAGGTTAGGGATGGTTGTTTTAGTTCAAGGATGATAAAACTGTGTTGAGACTTGGGTTGTTCCTATGGGAAACATGGGCTCCTCTCCCTTAGTACTCTTTGGTCATCATGACATGGCCTTAAGTTGTAAGTGGTACAGGATGTATATTTTTCATGATGGTGGGGATGGGGAGGAACTGAACAGTTCTTATTTTCTAAGACTTTGCATTAACCTGGGCTCTCAACTGTTGCTTTATCTTTGAGACATTATCTTGAAAAGGATAACTTTAGAGAAACTCCAAACTAGCCTGATAATAAAATATTACCCAGTTCAGACTTACACTTTAGATCTATGTTCTGCACAATAATTTTCCAAGGTATTTCACCACTTCTAGCAGCCTAAACAAGGTACTACAAACATTGTTAAGATTGGTTTCACTAGGTCTCTTCTATTCTGGAGAATAAAAATAATAGTCCAAAGTAGGGATTCCTCTAGCATTCATGGACTTCTTCTCATGCTCTGCCCTGTCTTGAAAAGTTTGCTGAGAAGAAGTCAGCAAATGCTTGCAGAATGAAGGCTTCATGATCGGTGCAAACAGAGGCTGCTTCGTGTGGTGTGGAAGAGGGACACAGTATTCACATGGGGCTTAATTCCCAAACTCCTTCATGCAGCAGCACAAAAAAAGGCTGCTGCATGTGGTGCAGAAGAGGGATGTTGGTTGCACAGTATTTGTGTGGAGCTCAGTTCCTCAGTGTCATGTGAATGCTGGACACACTCACCAGGAACTTGGACTCATGGCCATGCCAAAGCAGATGGAAGTTCAACAAGCCAAGCCCAGGGAATTCAATGGATCTACTCACACATCCCTAGTCCAAAGTCTGATTGCATAGCATAAGATTTGGATGTCTCTTTGAAAGCAAAAATAGGGTCTTTAGGCTTTCAGGATACAAGAAGAGCACCCTAACTCTTTGATATGATCTGGCAAGTCCTCTCTGACTTATGGTGATCCTATGAATGAAAGCTCTCCAAAATGTCCTATCCATGACATGCATGCTTAGCAGTTCTAAAGTCAAGGCTGTGGCTTCCTTTATCAAGTCAATCCATCTTCCCTTTCTTTTTCTGCCTTTGACTTTCCTTAGCACAATTATCTTTTCAAATCAGTCTTGCCTTCTCATGATGTACCCAAAGTATGACAGTCCCAGTTACCCATAAAATGTTTACTATACATAAACATGTTATGCATATATTTAAAAATGAAATACCTGTACTTTTGTTTCAATACTTCTAGTTCTAATGATGTGTCAGCACTCTGCGTATCTGTTGCTGTATCATCCCATCCAAAGCAATATTGGAAAACACTCTGAAAAAACACACTCATGTAAAAATTAGGAGTAATGGAGAAAACAGCCCTGATAGACTTGAAACTGAACACAGAAGGAACCAAAATTATTTTCAAAAACCTGGAAAATTGCTCCACTTATAATTCACCTTATTCTAAACATGATTTGGCCTCTGTGATGACCGCAATTATATCACTGGTAGTTTGACAGGGTCCAATCCTTCCCAGGCCCTTGTGAGCTTCCAAGCACCCTGTTTTTCCTGCCTGCCTGATTCCCATGCATCCCTATACTGAACCTTTGCTGATGTCCTGGCAGAGAAAAGAAGAAAATGAGAGAAGAAAGGAAAGAGGCATCCAACCCTTTTTCTCCCATGACCTGTCAGAACAAGAAAGGTAAGCTGATGAAAACTAGGGAATCTGAGATAAGGGACAAATTCTTTTTGGTTTGGGTTTTTAATGTGAAGCAAGCCCTTTGTGAAGTAATGCTGGGAACAATAGATGGCAAAAGAAGAAGGGGACGGCAGAGAATGAGGTGGCTAGACGAAGTCACTGAAGCAGTTGGTGTGAGCTTGAGTGGACTCTGGGGGATGGTGGAAGACAGGAAGGCCTGGAGGAATGTTATCCATGGGGTTGTGATGGGTTGGACACAACTTCGCAACTAACAACAACAAAGCCCTTTGAGGACCGCACAAAATTGAAAGCATGAACAGGATGCAGGAAAATGTACACGGAGCCTTCTCCCCTCAACCTCCCATGGCAACCAGGGAGGTCTGAAGAGAGGCTGCAACCATGCTAGGTTCAGCACAGTTACAATACTCCTTGTGACTGCCAACCCTGACTGCACAGGGCTTCTGATCATACAAAGGACTGTAACTACTTTCAATCCATACGGGATGGTCAATAATTGGATTAGTGCACATGTCCCAGTGTTACTATTACACTCTCATTCTGATAAAACCTGTATAGGGCTATGGAGAACAACAAATGCCTTTAAAGCCAAATGGTTTAAAGTCAAGGAATATGAATATTGATATCAATATTAAAATTCTTCCCAGAGTAGTCAACTTGTTCCTATTTTCTCCATATGACTTTGGTAGAAGAAAAATCTAAGTTAATAGCTTTTCTTTTTCTTTTTGCTGAAAAATCCATCTTACCATGAATCCACAATATCTTGGCCTATTAGGATACACAGTGATTGATTCCTGGTCAACTCTGCTAAGAAACCAATATGGCAGTTTTTTCTCCAAGTTTGTGTGAAGATTCACCTATATTAAAAGAATATTTCTCTCAGTACAAAGAGCTAAATGCACAGAAACAGAGACCTAAACTGATACAAATCACCTCTATCACAACAGGGTACTGTGCTCACTCCAATCCACTTGGCTAGGTCCTGTAAGTTTGGAAAATGGTGATCCTAAGTATCCTGACAAGAAATTTATGAAGACTTCCCTGACTACCCATGTACTGACTTTTATGCTCAAGACAAAAATCAGCATCTGGTGAGGATGAGCACAAAGGCAGTTTCACATAACAGCATGCTTACAATACACTGTCCTGAATGAGGATTATTCATTTGTAGTTTCAGTTTTTATTACAAATATGACTTCAGGACAATGCAGTATGTACTTCAAATGAAAGGCAAGCATTTCAACATAAACTGCTCTAAAAAATTCTTCTTCTTCAAGCTATTATTTAAAAATCACTTCTTCCATCTAAACAGTTGCTTCAAGTCTCAAAGTCAAGTTGCTATTTATAATGAATATCAAATGCACAATGCGTGTCACTAACCTGCATTGCTATTCTTTTCAGTGCAGCGAATTTTTGTACCTCTGCAATATCTCCAACAGCCAAACCAATCTATAAAATATTAAGCAGAACAAACAGCTCAATTTTTATTTTCATGTTTTTCCAGATGAATTTTGGTTCTCTTTCTCTTCCATATTATTTTTGACAGGAAATGAATTATTCTGAGTCATGTGATAAACTAGGTCTTTAAAATTAAAGATGGCCATCCAGCATATTTATTTTCCACAGAAGCAAATTACTTGCTCACATACATTCAAAGAGGTATTTGTTGTCTACATCACAGAATTTCAAACTACTTTATTTTATTTTATAAATGGAGGTTCCACCTATAGCATATGTCTCAAGGCAGTTAACAAAGCCAAGTTGCAAATAACAACAACTCAAGAGGATCAGTATGGAAAGTATAGCAGCAGATTGGTGTGTATGAAAGCATTATGACTTGTTCTTACCAGTAAGTTCATAAGAAGAATTGGAATAAGCAGAGAGAAGATAATGAAAATTACAAAACTCAGAAATGGATAAGGCAGTTTATTGTTGAGCATTGGTTCAAGGAAAGCATCACGATAATTAATATCTCCCAGCATCATGGCAAATGCCTGCATTACAGAAAGGTATGGCGTGCCATATGTTTCCTAAAAAGAAACAAAAGAGATTGGTGGAAGACATTCATCATGACACTGAAGGTACATGGTCTGATCTTCCCCTAGATCTATAGAAGCAAAGATGCATCAACTAGTTGATTGTCAATACAATCCAACTATAACTATTTCTTGTCCTTGTTAGTGGAAACATCTTCATTAGTTGCCCTTTATAACACATGTATAACACAATCCTATGGCTACCAAACAGTGTCTTGAGAGCCATAGGCTCTTTTGGATTCTGAGAGGCTGGGTTGAAAAATGATTCCAACCTCTCAGCTCAGGATCTGTTCTCAGATACCCCTCTGCACTGCTTACAACTGGTGCAGAAATAATCATATCAGCTGCTTCTCTGATGTTTTAAGAGCAGCCTTCGAAAAGGGCTTCAGGGGCTTTCCAGAGCCTAGGAAGGAGAGCAGAGCAGTGCCAGCAAAGTGTGACATATTCTAACAGCCTTCAACTTGCTTTCCTTTCTCTTCAAAGCACTGCACTTAGAGTGCTAGAATTCATTAAAGTCTCTACTTTGCAGAGTAGGTGGACCACAGAAGGGACCTGCACCTCCATGTTTCTTCTGCCTTCCAAGGGACATCAAAATTTGAGTTCAGAGAATTCTACACATCCTCATAGGATTTCACCCTTAAGGCACAGTCCTATGCAAGTTTAAATAGAAAAAGTTCCAGAGCTCCCAGCATGCCCTGGTCATGCTGGGAGCTGTGGAACTTTTTAATGACTAAATATATGTATGGTGGAGGACAGGAAGGCCTGGAGGAATGTTGTCCATGAGGTCACAATGGGTTGGACACGACTCCGCGACTGGCAACAACAACAACAATGTTTAAGCTTTTATGAGCCATTCTCACCAATTATTGCTGCACTTACTTGCCTGAGTAGCTGGGAACATTAAGGAATTTGAAATGCCAAAATTAAAATTTATTCATTTAAATAATTGATAATTATACCTGATAAGTATTTTGGAGTAATTTATATCACACATTAAAAGCAAAATGCAGCAATATACAATCAATGTAAAAATTCATTACTAATAATAACACTGATAAATAAAAACAAATTTGAACAACACAGTGCAAAATGTCATTTCCAGTGTTTAAAAAGCAGCTTCCATCCAGCACTTAAATACAACTAATTAACTACTTCTTAACCTGATATCCATTCCAGAAAATGCAAAACATACAAAATAGTTTTGATACAATCGAATTTTATTTCCACTGTGTAAACAATAAAACACATCATTTGCACTGTGGTGGCATTTCTTACCTGTGAACCCAAAAGAACATGGAAACTGAGCCCAAAGGCTAGCATCAAGAAGAAGAACACAACAGCTATCCGAATCAGAGTCCTTAAAATCTCCCAAAACATCACAACATATATTCCATAATTTTCAAATCTGGGAAGATTTATATGAAGAAAACATAACTAATCATCATCGTATATTAGATTTCAAATGTCTATCTACTATCATTTTTCTTGTAGTGGCAATAGCATTATGCTTCTATGAAGTCCTCCATTTCATATGGGTGTCAAGCATTTTATTTCTCACTTTACTTGCTTGAATCTAGTAACGGAGACTTAGTCTTCCAGATATGGTGTTGTATTCAATTAGCCCTTCTGACTGAAGGAAAAACTTCATACAGTGGAACAGATAAGATATTATTTGTCCCCTGCCCTTGTAGTCCCCTCTGCTCTTATAATTTGTATCAAAATGTAGGGTGCAAGTTCTGGGAATGGCATGAAGGACTGCAAAGGATAGGAGAAAATGGCAAAACATTGTTGCACAAGTGAAAAGAACTATTATTATTATTATGCTAAGTGACTGTTAGCGTAATAATAATAAGAGTAGGGACTGTTTGTTTGGGCAGATTTCACAAGTGAAAGTCCATATTGGACTTTGGTCAATATTCCCATATTAGCAACAATACTTTTTTTCGTGGGGGTGGAAGCCAAGCGATTCTGGTTCTACTCCTCTGAATTGTTACCTTTGAAGAGTCATGAATCACTCCTCCTGGATAGAGATGCCAGTGAATTTTGCCTCCCTCTTCCCAAAAATTGCATTGTATAGAAATGAGCATTATGAATCCACCAACATGTTTTTCCAAAGTGAGGAAATAGGAACTAAATGTGACATATCTGCAGGGATGTTTTGATGAGCTGCACCCAAAAACCTTGGAATGCAGGGCAAAAGGTCACAGTCATGGTGAACCATGTTAGTCCAATGATGACCCATATGAGATTTCCCTCACCCCCCTCCCCTTCCCAGATGGCAGCTCTTTAATACACACACCTAGCAAAACAATGGAGATGTTTATTTACTACTTTTCTGGGAACTGCTTTGAAATGCTATCTTCAAGGAAATTTTGATTGGTTCAGCAATGAACTCAGTTATTTTGCAACGTGAGGTAAATAGCTCTTCTCATTTTCAAACCAATCTGATATGGTTTGAAACCAAGCTCACTCATCTAGCTCCTAGTCAACAGGACCTATTTTTCAACACCAGTCATCTTAACATACAGTAAAACAATTTATGCAAATACTACAGACTTAAACATTTTCATTTATTAAATAATGTGACTCAAAACTATGTTCTCTCTCTCTCTCTCTCTCTCTCTCTCTCTCTCTCTCTCTCTCTCTCTCTCTCTCACACACACACACACACACACACACACACACACACACACACACACACACTTTCAGGGGAAGCATTATCATTTACCTCTGTAGATATAACAAGAAGTTCATCCAAGAAAGGAATATCGCAATTGCACCACATTCCCACTGTAAGTGATCTGGCAGTTTAATAAATAAAGATGATACAAAAATGATGCTTGTAGTATAAATTGTCCAGTCAAGAAGGTTGGAATAATCCAACAAATACCTTAGTTTCTATGGTATAAAAGCAAGAAATATTACTATTGGCTAAATTAATTAAAATAGATGGCACATCATATTATTTCTTGTCAAATGAAGAAAGATTTAACTTCCAAAAGTCCAAAGTATTTTTTAATTGAACATTTAAAGAAAACATCAAGAAATTTGACAGCCATGTCATAGCAGGGCCATATACCTGTTGGAAAAGCTGTATGATTTCTTTGCAGATTCCAAATAAACTCATGATAAAAACCAAACACATACATACTTTAATGAAGTATGAATCCTGCAAATGAAGAAAACATAATAGAAATATCACGATTAAGTAATGTAAGAGAAATTTTGATTCCTATTCTTTAACAGTATTTTAGTGACATGAAATGTTTCTGCTGTCCTATATATTTTATTTCATTCAGTACCAAAGGTCTCAGAGCAGTTCACAACATGCTAAAACAAGATACAAAACTTTAATAATCAACATCTGAAGTGTAGAAACAAGTTAAAAACAAGCACCTATACAACTACTTGGATAAGACACTAAAATGGCCCATCATATGCTGTCAAATAGCCAGGAGAAGGTAAAGTCTTAAACTGGTGCCAAAAGGATGACATTGGTAGGCACTATATTAGCAACTACTACAGAATTCCAGAACCACAAATCCCAGTTTCCTAATGTTAAGCATCATCTGAATTATTTAATTGAAACATTATCTGAAGATGTGAACACTGCAGGGTTGAGAGGTGCCAGCATTTGGAATTTGATGTTCCAAGTCCTTCCTCTCCAGAGCAGAAAAAGGAGGCATTCTGAGCTTGGGAATATTCCCAATGTTCACAACTTCAGCTTGAGAGAAGAAGGGTTTTCTATTGCCTAATTCTTCTTCTAACAGGAGTCATATCTTGTCCGGTAGAGACCAATGTCCTCCTACTATTGATCTTCTCTCAGTATTGTTGTTTACTTCAGCTACACAAAACAGGGAGCTAAGAGAACCTACACACAATTGATGAATGTAGAACAGCACAGATGTGAACAGATTCTGAATTACTAAATTTCACTCATGGAACCCCAATACTGATTCCTGTGCACAACTCTTAGGGGTAATGATGTGTGAGCTGCTTCTCAGCCCAGCAAGATTCTTGAGTCTTGCCTGTAATTATCTAATTTACGGTGTGTATATAGATAGTAGAACTGTACTTTAAAAACATCTTTTCTATTGACTTTGTCTCTGAAGGAGAAAGAAGATACAGACTTCTATCAAAGTTGGAATTCCTTTTATTATTGACTAGAGAAAGGGGACTATGCATAGATTTAAATATGTTTATGGATTATCATAAAAAGAAAAAGTTTGGGGGGGGTGGCCCAGTAGGTCTGATGTTTCTGATGATTGATTTTTTTTAGTTTTTGTTAGTTTTGTTAGTAGAAAATAACAATAAAACTTATTTTTTTAAAAAAAATCTTTTCTAGATCAAACTAAAAGACAAAACAGACATTGTATTAAACATATAACTAGCATAACCAATTTTATTCTAGAGTAAACGCAGAGGCCAGTTCCAGTCTGTGCCTTCCATGACTGCCATGCAATCGCAAAATAATAATCATTTTCACTTTGTGAATGCTAGCTACATCATTTAAATAATATCTGATTTGAAAAAGATGCATTTGCTGTAGAATTTACAATTTAGTGGCGATCTAGCTACATCTTGGAAGATCAGACAGTGGGCCTGAAGGCAATAGCTTTCCAAAGTTACATGTCCCCAGCTTAAAGTCCTCAGTGATAGATCAATTCACCACCTCCATATAGTGAAGTAAAAAATATACCTTTTTATCAAATGGTCCATGCTTAAGAGTTGCATTGAAAGACACTTCTGGCTCTATGTGAGTGATCAGGAGAGTTAGAGGTATTAAGCCAAGAGAATACACTGCTAGATTCATAAGATGTGCTCGAAACCCATACGCCATCCTATAAGGCAACATTTCATTAATTATCATTTTCACAATAGTCTAAAAGGATCACATTTTCTATTTTAATTCAGGGAGACCATAAATCATAGGAATTACCCCCAGACAGGGGTAGAAGAATCCTAATGATTACAATTTCTTCTTAAGATAACTGTCTGATAGCTTTGTCAGAAGCAAGTTGAATCAATTGAATCATATTTTTGATACATGTTATGTTTGCTAACAAGTTGCTATATCAACAATAGGACTCCTGTGATTCATATGCATCCTTTTCATTGACTGGAAATCCCAGGCTTAAGGTCACTTTTATTTCTCACTTCCAATGAATCTTAATTCAAACAAAATTAAAATGGAACATTTGAAATTAAACTTTCAAGAACCTACCATTTCATGAGTAAATATTCTGTACATACTGGATGACTGAGCAGCTCAACACGATTATGACGTACCATTGCCTAGGGAGGAAACGAGGCAAGTATGTCAATTGTGCAGAGATTTATTTGCAAAGCAGTAACAGTAATACTGCATTTGTTAACTGAATACCTGGTTAAAGAGATGACAGCACCATCATCAGCATCTTACTCATCTGATTTCTATGCCATCCCATAGCTGAAGCTTTCTGGGCAGTTTTCAGGTGTACATGTGCATGTGTAAATGTGCCCATACCCATGCACAGATGTGTGTGTGTGTTGTATGAGACATATTACATTGTGGTATATTTCAATTTCTTCTTTCCGTAAAGTGTCAAAAATACACCATGACATAAAGATGAAACTATTCTCCAGGAATAGAAGGGACAAATGAAAGCCATGCATTCTGCCAACAAATTTAAATATGACTTGAAGGATGTTTATGTCTATCTAGTACACAGCTCAGATAATTATTACACTGAAGATCCTGAGAATATGCCAGTAATTAAATGGAAGGGGACAACTTGTCAGGTTTGTTCTAATTTAATTGTAAATACAGAGATGTCCCAAAGGAACCTGATAGTGTCATCATCATCATGATGTATCATCATTTTATAGAGGATGTTCCAAACAGTGCTGCACTAGAGGAAGTAATATCTTCATCTGGATGTGAAGAACAGATATTTTAAGGCTGAAATTCTATACAGAATTACCTAGGAGTAAGCCCCAGTGAATGACTTCTACATATGAATTTAGTTTTAAGCATGACATCATGACTGTTATTTCAAATACATTAAGTCTGGATAAAGTTTAAAGCCCAGCCACTCCCAAGTTTCTCTCCTGCACGCTACCATACAACCATGATGATACAGGTCTTTTTTGTACAGGTACAGCCAAAATGACAAATGGCTTCATAAAATCATTCTAATTGAGAAAATCAGCACCTCAGTGATCTTTTTATAATATCTAATCTTATCTTTGTGTGTGTGGGGGGGAGGTATTTTTCTTTCCTCAGTTATAATGACCTGTATGTTGCCTGGTTGATTCAGTTATATTATGTTGGTTATAAGACACACTATAGATAGAAAAATCTGTTGTTTTCTGTAATGTTCTCATGAGAATCCCAGTTCCACTTCAGTGTGTGCATTGGTCTGCACAAAAATCCAAATGCATTTTCAGGCACATTTTCATCAGCACAAACATTTGTATGCACTTTACTACACAGTTTCCCCTAATACATGAATTTCCTGCAAACACTAATACATGCGTTTGTGTGTGTTATATCCCTAATGCATACATTTTCAGCTAATTAGTTGCCCTATAAAATATGGAGAAATGTGAAAAAGTTTAATTTCATTATTACATTCCGGCTCTGGTCTTAGTTCTGGAAGGGTAAATTAGGGTACTTCAAATGAAAATGTGAACCAAATGAATTTTACACTTATTCTTCATTCACCCATTATTCTAGTACTGTAGACACTGTGCCTTGACTATCCATTTGTATAACTCATTGGCTTTGATGACCCCAGGACCTTCCACACACTCCAAACTTCAGGGGTTTCATTAGCATGAATAAAAGGCACTGGGCAAATAGCAGGGAGGCACACTCAGAGGGGGAACTGGCAATCATTATGATGCCTAGTAAGATGCAATGCAAGTCTAAGATAACACTCACAATGCAGGTTTGTAATTGTATTAGCATAACTTACATTTAGAGTGATAAGTGGTTCATAAATTATTTCATCTTCTTCCTTTAATTTCTTGGTTAACTTTAGTGGACACTGAAGATATCTGAAGTTATATTCAACCTATACAAGAAATGTGAACCAAAATATCCTTTAATTGATGAAAGTAATTTAACAATACATTCCCAAAAGTATTTGTAGCAAATTTTGAAATGGTGCTAGAACTCAAAAATGGGGGGGAAAGGGGTAGGCATGGGTACCAATGAGCATGCCATTGTACTTCTGAGAATTTGTGGGCATCCATATCAACACAGTTCTCTTGCTTGTAGTCATGTTCCTCTTTCACTTCTTCTATCGTAACATGCCCTTTTCCATGTATCAAAACTTCCTCTATGAAAAATGTTCCACATTTTCCAAAACCTTAATTTTGTAGCTACTTTATGATAGGCCTAGGCAACCTGGAGCAGTACCCACTACTGTTGCTGAACATCTACTGACTGATAGGTCCAACTGTTTCTGCAAAAGGAAATTAGCACTGCCTAAAGCAAGGCTGGAAACAGAAAAACAGTCATATCTGGATTGGGCCTAGTCAGTAGAGTTTGCTATTCTGCCCTGCCCAATTCTGAAGCATTTTTATTCATTTCCAGTTGCTTTAACTGCAAATTCCGTGTTGCATAAACAGTTTGTCCTGCTGGTTCAAGGAAGCATAAGAGACTGTCTGCACTGCTTTCCAGATGATCTGAACTCGTCACTGATTACTGGCCATGTTAATTGATCCTGATAGAGTTGTAGTCCCAAACATTTGAAGGGCATCAAGTCAACTACCCCTACCATTAATTATTGGCTAAAAAACCACAGAGGTTTGGTTAATTAATTAATTAATTAAAAGTTTTTCTATGCCATCTTATATTTTAAAAAAATCACAGGATAGTTCACAAGGTTTTGGAAGTAACTGAACTATTCTGGCAGACCAAGCTGTGATGGGAGGGAGGGAGGGAGGGAAGGAAGGAAGGAAGGAAGGAAGGAAGGACGGAAGGAAGGACGGAAGGAAGGACGGAAGGAGAGGAATAATTAAGGATCAGCAGACCAGTGATGGTGAAATTCATCTTGATTCTCATATTTCCTTGTTTATGCTTCAATTTGTAAATGCTATTTGATTTCCATGAATAGAAAAATTGTGCAAAATGAATGTGATAAGCTGTGAAAGTTGCATAAAACAATCTCAAATGTTCACAAACTTCCAAAGTTATGCAAATTTTGCTAATAAACTATGGTGCGAAATGCTGTATTTTTAAAGTTTGTGAACTTCTTGTTTGACAAATGTGAATGTTATTCTAATTTGCAAACATTTTCTGGGTGCACATAGTTTTGTTCACTCACATTCAGGTATTTACATATTTTGCACACAGAAACAAAATTCTTGCACAACCCCAGCTGTGACTCTCAAAAGAAGAGCAAGTAGAAAGATATTGATTTAGGGAAATTAATATTTCCCTATAAATTATCCTATAAATTTAATTATTTTGAACATGCAGTTCATACATCAATTTTGCACAACACACTAAAATGTAACTTGGTACAGTGCCCCCCCAACCTGGTGCCTTCTAGCCTTTTTGAACTGTAATTATCATTAGCCCCAACCCAAAGAGGATCTGTAGCCAGAAACATCTTAAGGGCAACAGGCTGGAGAAGACTAGCTTAAGTGTCATGTGAACATGCAAAAATGCACCACAAAAAGCCTAATGTTTGCATTCTGTCCCTTTCAATCTCTTCTTACATGGCCTGGAGATAGAACTTGGAAGTTTTTGTTTTTGCTTAATGGGTAGTTGGCATATTCTCTGAGCCAATAAACTGTGGTTATTATTAACTATGTTTTAACAAGTCAATTTCAACCTGGCTTGCTTAGACTAACCATAATTAAGATTAAGCACAGGTTTGGTTCCAGATGAAATAATAATTTATGGTTATTTTTTAATGGATATAAAAGGCTCTGAACTTGCCTTGGTGGATGGATAAAAGAAAGGAGGGGAATTATGTGCCAGTGTTTTAATGAAGATTTTTTCCTATCCATTCAGGTTTCACTAAGGTATACTTTAGTGATGCGTAAATATGGCCAGTATCTTTAGTAAATTCTAATTAAAGAATAAATGCACCACTAGTGCCACTCTTTACCTTTGGTTCTCCAGCACTAGCTGTTTAGTATTTTTCCAGATTTTGCATAGTTTTTCCCTCTTTCTAACAACAACAACAACAACAACAACAACAACCCTGAAATGCTTCTTCTAAGGCTGAGTAGAAGTAATTTTTTAAAGCTTAGATATGCTGATGTCGTTGGGAATTTTTATCCCATTCTTTTTGTTTTAGATCTCATTCCCCCTTCTTAATGCAGACATACAGTATAATGGAATTTGGCAAATTAGCTTGAATCCTTGATCTAGAAGATATGAAATATTATCAGAGTTCAGTTAATATGAGATTGTCTGGTTATCTAGTATTTCTGGATACATATTTAGTCAAGAAGGCCAAGACAAAAGTGGAAACAGCCCTGTTATATAGAAATCACATATGTTAACAACTCCAAGAATATCTTGGCATATTAAACTTTGATTTTAACTTACACTGAAGTCTCTGGATGACTTTTCCTCCGATGATTCAATAATGCAATTGTCTAAAACTAACTTATAGAGATAAAGAGATGCATTTCAGTACACTGAGAAAACACTGGAGCATAGTTCATAATAATAGGCATAATGCTTTCATAATATGCAACTATGTCTCAATTTCCTAAGGCTGGGCATGAAAAGGGAAAGAGCTTGTTTTCAATAATGTAGGATAGTAATTCTGAATGAAGTAATTAGTCACTCAGATACTCAGACCTGAACAGAAGTGGTGATTCACAATTAAAACCAAAAACACTAATTCATTTTCCCAGTACAAAACTTGTCAATTCAAATGCACACAAAAGTTTGTTTAAAGCTATGGACAAAGAACCATATGACAAGCTTAGGGTCATTTTAGAAATACCCTTCTATAACACCACAAAAGTTTGAGAACTTTTAAGGGTTAAACTGTACATGATACTAAATTTTTCACTCTGAAACATGTTCACTTATATACAGTCTTACTTTGAAGCATTCAGGAATGTATTCAACCATCTCCAGTATGGCACATTTATTTGTAGAAGAATGGTGAGAAAATGTTGTTACAGCTTCTTCCCATCTAAAAGAATAAGTCAAAGGGACTCAGAGTAGCAATAGTGATTGCAGAAATAGCGGTATTAGGGGAAAAATAGTATACCTTGATAATTATTTTTATATTTATACATAAATTATTTTTCTTCTGCAAAATGTTCAACTGCATTCAAATTCCTTATAAGTCAGCTGTAAAATTTGCCACAGCAATAGATAAATGGTTAGACAGGACCATACTTTGTATCATGCCATAACTGTATAAAACTGTAGCATTATAACTTGAAAAAATGCATAGCCCTTGCTGCCATCTGCTACGGAAAAGAATATCCTTTTGGCCACTAGAATGGCTTTGCATTCTAGCACTTCATGGTACACCATAAATTTAACATGGTGGAAACATTGTACGGCAAGCAATCATACTGATCTGCACAGAAAAGTAAAGTGAATGTCTAGACTTGCATGTCTAACTTGCATGTCTGATCCTGTTGAAATAATTGTATTTTTGGGATTGGGATGGATCCAATGCCCCAGCACTGCCACACTGCTTGGATCCCTGAAGCAAAATCAATACGTTTAAATCCATCTCAGAATATTACTTTTCCCTTGAAGTTTTTGCTAAAATTTATAGTTGATGGTAAAGCCAGGAAGAAAGTGCCTGTGGCCTTTCCCCATTGGTTTTAGAGTGAGATCATTGGTACAACTAGACTGGTTCACACGGCACAGTTGCCTGACTGGAGCATCAACCCATAGTGAGCCATGCTTCACATTATAAATGTACAGTTCTGAGCAGGGGTTGCCATGCCAGCCACTCAATTGCCAGTAGGGTTAAACAATCTCTGATAACTCTGCTGTATCATGTGAACCAGGTTACAATATAGCTGTGTAAAAAAATAAAGACTTATAGCTCCAGTTCTTGGTTTTTATTTGAATGCCACAAGATGAAGAGTAGGATTAAGTGAATCTTTCAATGGAAAGTTGGGTTTTGGTGACAACATTTCCCTCTTTATTCTGGTGTATAAAGTGAAAAATACCTGCTTTCATTCCAATACTTAAGTTGTTATAACTGATATTTTTATCTAGTTTTCCTGAAATTTGGAATTCTTCCAACCCTCATCCAAAGCAGTCTCTCAGGTTTTCTATTGAGATGATATTTTTTGTTATTTCATAAAGAATACCAACATAATAACACTCTTGTGAGAATTCAAACAGCAATACCAGTAATTAAAGTTCAGGAAGACTTTCAGTAGGTAGAACAAGTAATTGCTACAGAGGTAACTACAAAGTTTCTGTCCAACAAAGCATCCCAGTATGTGAGACCACAGAGTATATTTTCTTTTTCCATTGTGTTGGATCTAGATTGGCCTCTATGAAAGCAGAAAGCCCTGAGATCTAATAAATCAACATTAAGGGCTAGATGCTAAAAGAAGAGAATGGGACAGTGACTCCCTGTCTCTTCTCAGCTCCCCATGTCTTCCCTAAAGCCTCTGTAGTTTCTCTGTCCACCAGAAAAAGAGATACAGAGGACTTCAGGGTAAAGGCAGAATCACTTCCCCACCTACTTCTTCCAACATGAGCTGAACTACACTTAATATTATTCTAAACCAAACCCATGGCATGGCTCTTAAGGCAGGAATCTTAGCTTAAGGTTTTTGTGTGTTTGGTATATTAATGAATTTGTTAGAGCTCTAAATCTTATCTTAAACAAAAGGGGTTTTTTCACTTCCAGAACATAACAATTACTGGCAAGTCCATGAAACAACAAATCACTGTGTATTATTCCATTTTTAACTGGGAGAGTACAAAGTTTCAGCATGAAAATCTTTATCAGACTTCACAGAGAGGGAAAGTGGTGAGGCAAGGGGAAGGGAGGGAGGGGAAGAGAAAGGGCAACAATTAATATCTCTTTAGCCATCTTTAACCATGGATAATGCTTCAGAGAAAGAACCTTTTCATATGAAGAGGCAAATATGAATAGTGTAATGGTGCAGGAATGAAATAGTGTCAAATGCAGTTACAATCAGAAATGGTAGAAATACATTTGAGTAATGTTAGACCTGTATACATTGTTATCCAGAATTTGCTTACCTTTTATGCAAGATGACAACATTTACAACATCTTTCCGTCTATTATGTACAGCTTCATGAAGAAAAGAAGCTTCAACTTTGTTTAGAAGAATTTTGGCATTGTCATAAAGAAGCATTCTAACTGCCTTTGCATGGCCTTCTCTGGCAGCAAGATGGAGAGCTGTATTCTTTATCAACATATCAAATATAAGCTTATTGGAATATGAGCAAAACAGCATATATAACTGAAAGAATTTTATAGTTCTTCAGTTTAGTCCTTCTGCCACTTCCATCCCTCTTCCTACATTTCTTTGGTAGACAGTAGGCACTTCTGGGTGGGATTCATAATTTATTTCTTATAAAGTGCTAAGATAATTGATAGGTAAATACCTCTACTTAGATTTTAACTACTCTAACTATGACTTATGGAACTAACCAATTAAAAAACAAAAGTTCAAACAGGTATGCACATAGTTCTCAACTAAGATGCTGTGTGCATTACCAATAAAGTAAAAGAGACGGTGACAAAGTGTATGATCAGAGATGGGGAAATACAGATCAGAATTCTTTATAAAATTTTGGACAAAACATTTTGTATAATTTTTATCTTGGCAGGGGGCTGATTCCTGCACCATTAACAACTGCTCTGGGAAGCTGGCAAATCTTCCAGTGCAGATTATCAGGCAACTACAGGGGAGAGAGCAGGAAATCAGTGTATTACTACTTATTTATCTATGTATTAAATGTAACTACCAAATGCTCTGGGGGTGGTTCAAACATAATCAACAGCAAGAATGACAATATTAATGAGAGAAAAATAATATTAAAATACAATCTTCAACACTGAAATATTGCAAACATTAAAGAATCACCAGTACAATTAATAATCAAAGCAGCAGATTAAAGATGCCTGCTGGAGGACAGCGGTCCTAACTTGTCATCTAAGCATATTCAGTTAAAATGACAGGGCAAGAAGAGTATCGCAGAGACAGGGGCCACTATAGAGAAGATTCTTTTGATAGTAGTCATCCATCACACCATTGAAAGTGGCAGTACCAGAGAGGAACCTCTAATGGTAGATGAGCAACTGGGCAGGAATATACTTCAATTGGTTCAAAATAGAGCTGCCAGGCTGCTGACAGGGACTGGACGTTATGTTCACATGACTCCAGTTCTCCGTCAGCTTCACTGGCTTCCCATTGAAGTCCGGGTCCAATTCAAGGTGTTGGTGATGACCTATAAAGCCCTAAACGGCTTGGGTCCTGGTTACCTGAAGGAGCGCTTACATCCATATATGCCCAGCCGCCCCCTGAGATCGGCGGGAGAGGCCCTTCTCCGGGAACCCTCCGTGAAAGAAATTAGGAGGGTGGGTACTCAGAGGAGGGCTTTCTCAGCGGTGGCGCCTAAGTTATGGAACGCGCTCCCCAGAGAGGTCCGCCTGGCGCCGTCGTTATTTGTTTTTCGGCGCCAGGCGAAGACCTTTTTATTTAAGCAGCATTTTAAATGTTATTATTATTGAATTTTATCTGGCCAGGGCGGCTTATTTTATATTGTATGTATTTTATTTTAATGTTTATATTTTTAATTATAATTATTTAACTAATTGCTGTAAGCCGCCCCGAGGCTTTGGCGAATGGGGCGGCATAAAAATGTTTAAATAAATAAATAAATAAATAAATAAATAAATAAATAAATAAATAAATATGGAAGAAGACAATCCTTGTTGTTGTTCCTAGCCATTTAAGGCTTCAACTTTCAGCAGCAACCTTTTTAGTCTGGCCTGGATTTAATCCATGGCTGTCTACACACACTTAATCTCATAATGAAACCGCTGGGAGAGGTCATCAGGAGGTGTGGGCTGCGGAATCATCAGTACGCTGATGATACCCAGCTCTACCTCTTGGTTTCCACCAATCCAGGTGAGGCAGTGGCTGTGCTGAACCGGTGCCTGGCCAAGGTAATGGGCTGGATGAGGGCCAATAAACTGAAGCTCAATCCAGACAAGACGGATGTCCTATTGGTGGGTGGCTCGGGATGGGGGACTTGGGCCTTTTCCTAAATGGGGTTGCACTCCCTCTGATGGACAGGGTTCGCAGCTTAGGAGTGCTTCTTGACCCTGAGCTGTCTCTAGAAGCTCAGGTGACGGCAGTGGCGAGGAGCGCCTTCCTTCAGCTTCGGCTGATACATCAGCTGCGTCCCTTCCTGGAGAACGACTGCCTGGCGACAGTGACACACGCGCTGGTAACTTCCCAATTAGATTTCTGTAACGTGCTCTACGTGAGGCTACCCTTGAAGACGGTCCGGATACTTCAATTGGTGCAGAATAGAGCTGCCAGGTTGCTGACGGGGACTGGGCGTTGTTCTCATATAAGCCCAGTTCTCCGTCATCTCCACTGGCTCCTGACTGAAGTCCGGGCCCAATTCAAGGTGTTGGTTATGACCTATAAAGCCCTAAACTGCTTGGCCCATATATGCCCTCCCACCCCTTGAGATCAGCAATGGATGCCCTTCTCTGGGAATGCTCCGTGAATGATATTAGGAGGGTGAGTACCCAGAGGAGGGCTTTCTCTGCGGTGGCGCCCCATCTATGCAATGCACTCCCCAGAGAGGTCCACCTGGCGCCGTTGTTGTTTTTCGGCGCCAGGCTAAGACCTTTTTATTTAAAACTTATTTTAATTGTTAAATTATTGAATTAATTAGGATTTTAACATTTTTAGCCGAGAATGCACTGGGGGTTTTTAAATGTTTTTTTTAATTGTTATATTATTATTATTAATGTATGCTTTTATGTATTCTTTGTGAGCCGCCCTGAGGCTTTGTTGCGATGGGGGCGGCATAGAAATGTTTTAAATAAATAATATTTCATATGTCCAATTGGAACCCCTCATAGAATTTTGCAGTATTATAGCTGAAGAATGTATATACACCTACCCCTTCTTCATCCACTTTATCTGTGCATTTCACATTAGTGTTCAAGATGATCCGCATTGTGCGAGTATAACCTCCAAAGGCAGCATGATGTAAAGCAGTCCACCCTTTAAAATCACTTTTGACAAACAGATTGGAACAAAGCAGAGAAAGATATTCTAATTTTATTACTCTATAGCGAGTGTTCATGGCTAACCTGCATTGATTTGAAGAAAGGCAAAATCTGAATATATTGGTATAAGTATGAATACATAAATACATAGCATAATCAATGCATAAATACACAACACTGTAAATGCTGAAATATATTAATATATGAATATTAAATTTTAATTTTAATAATTATACAGATTTTAATATTAAAATAAAATATATTAATTTGTTTTTAAATTATATTTCCAATTTCCAGTTTGCTTTTTATGGTTACACTGTTTATTGCCATGTTAGCACAATGTAAAATGTAGTGCTTTAAATATCTGGAAATGTGAAATGCACAAAATATGCATTGCCTTTAAAATTGAGGTATTTATATATCCGTGTTTCAATAGTAACCTTGGGCATAGAAATTAGCACTCTGTTGAACCACAAATTCCCAGGTGTGTTTTGGAAGTACATGCATGTCCTACTGGACTGGAGGTCATATGCACAAGTGAGTACTATGTAGATAGTTCCCAATCTCATTCAATTTACATGAAATCTATATTGTGAAATGAGTTTTGCCTTTTGGTTTAAAATAGTTTATAGCAATGTCCAGTATAACTCCTTGCTGAGCATATTCATTATATTGAAATGGACATCAAATACATGCAATTACTCTACATTTTTGTTATTTCACCTTCAAAAGAAAAAAAAAGGCCAAAATGTACATTCTTACCAGAGGAAGAGGGCACCTTTTTTCAAGAGAAACTGTACAACTTTTTCATGGCCATTTTGAGCAGCCAGGTGGAGAGGAGTCATCCCCTTCTTGTCTCCTTCATTCAAAAGCCTGGTATCTTCCATGTCACGTAGAAGGCGCTGGCAGGTGTTGATTCGACCATAGCTACACATAAAAAATTTATGTGCAAATTATTAATAGTTCCATCTGGAATGTAAAGTGGGCAAAGAGGCAGGGCAGGAGCTTACCTGGCTGCAAAATGCAAAGGAGATTTCTTGTCCCTGCTTTTGGAATAGATGGAAACATTCAGTTCAAGGAGGCTGTTCACTGAAAGTGGTACCCCTTGTCTGCATGCATAATGTAAAGGAGTACATCCTTCATTATCTTCCTCAGTTACAAGGTCTTTAATATGTTTCATCTGCCACATACAAAAAGGGGGGCTTGTTAACAACATTCTGTGCAAGTTATCTCTAAAGCAAAGACTTTTTTCCCATTTAAGCTCATTAATTTCTCTACTGAGGCTTTGAAGAAAGATATAAAATTATAAAAATTTCCATTAACAGTTTGATAAACATAAATGAACAAAAATGTGAAATGGTTCTCTGTATAATTATCTCTATGGTTAAGTGCCAAGGGTGCAATTCTATGTCCTACACACCTTTCCTGTGCCTAGGGCACCAGACTCAGAGGCTTATGTGCATCCTATGATTGGAATGAGGAACAGAGGCAGCAGTCTCAACCACGATGCCCCTTTGCCCTCTCCAACAGGCACAGCTGCAGTCTCAGAGAGATGCCCAGTGCAGTTCTTTCTGAGCCAGCTCCAGGCTGGGACTCTGAAAAATTGCTTCTACCCTCAATGATGTTGGAAAGGGTAGAGCATTGTAGGAGTTTCCTAACTAAGCATACAACAGATTGTACCCTAAAACTCTTAGCAACATTAGTAGCATATAATACTTTACAAAATATTTTAAAGAGCTACACTGAGTGCCATGAATAGATCACAAATATAAACAATTCACCATAAGAATGTTCTGAAGAAAATGAAAATAGTTTCTCAGAACATGTTACCTATGTGCCCATTATAAACATACACAAATAAATGCTTTTTTACCTTCAAAAACTGTTCTTTAAGATGCTGTAATCCTCCAGGATGCAGAACTGTTAGATGCAAAAAGTTACGACCAAGATGATCTTTTAACTCTACATTTGCTCCTAAATAATCAGAGGGAAACAGATATTTTAAGCTAACGTATAGAAAGCTATTGAATAGAATCACTAATAGAAATAGCCCCATTGACTAACATTGGTATTGTTCATGATACATTGTTGAGTTTATTCCATACCTTTTGAGAGTAGTAAATTTACTGTTTTCCATGATGCACAAGAAGTGGCAAGTAGAAGTGGAGTTCGACCCTCAATGTCAACACTATCAATTTTTGCTCCCTGCAATGAAAAACTCATTAATGATGCAGGAATATTTTTTATTAAAATGCATGTAATAAAACCAGAAACCTATTATATTGGTCTGCATAAAAGCTGCATGTTTTTCAGATCCCATAGCCACTGAATATGGACTTCCTCGATACCTGGAACAGGTCTTTAAGCAGATGCATTATCATACATATGTATAGGTTCACATGCAAGGAGGACTATGTCAACATGATATAAGTGGGTGCTGTTATTATGGAACCAGCTATCTTAGAATATTGTGTGAGTGAAGCAAAATACAGTAGACTAGTCTGGCACTGGCACATTGACAATCCTCTTCCCATTGCAAGGTATAACAGTCTTTGGAAGATACAGCAGATTCATATGCTTGATTAATTTTCTCCAAACTTTTAAAGCAGTATAATGAAAATAAAGTTCAAAATAATAAATAAAGACCTTTCCATAAGAATCATTTCAAAATCATTCCTCATACTCTGAGAATAGTAATGCAACTGCCTTGCTCACAACCATTTAGAATCCTATCCCAATGAAACTGTCGATCAGAAGCCTTTTATGTCTGTGTGTATATTGTATATACTGAATGCACAGCAGGAAAGAAGACTGAACCTACTGTATCCACCGCTGCCCTAAACTGAGCTTTTTAACTTCCTGGACCCAATCAGAGGAAGGCAAATATGAATTCTGTTTAAAAATTTAAAAATTAATATTTTAATTGTGTTGAACAGTCACTTTGATTTTGTCTTTTAGGTAAATTTTTATTGAATTATGTTTTTATACATGTGATTTTATTTTCATTGTATTATTGTATTTCAATTTTATGGATTGTGAACCGTCCCAAGGTGCCAAGGCATAAGGGATGGCATATAAAAGTTTTAAATAAATAAATAGATAAATAAAAACCACCTGCAAAATATCATTTAACACTCCAGTTATTCTGAAACAGATAATCATAGCACCCCAGTTCAGATGAAATTAGGGACTTTTTCAGAAAAGGGAAGAACAACGGGATGGACAAGAAGACAAAATATTTTGGTTTAATAAAGCTGAGAAATGATCATTAAAACATGACCTCTATCAATTACTGGCTCTATCTCATCCAAAGGAAATAGCCCTTTAAGAACTTCTCAGTAAGAGTGGAAACAAAGTTCATTTCAAAGAAATAGTTTTGCTAAGGATTTGACTTTAATGTGGAAGTCAACGATTCTGGAAGTGCTTGTTTGTTTTGTGCATGGAAAAACCAATCCAGACTGACTCATCTGCCATGTGGTATGATCATTCACAAACACAAGGCAGTGTAAATATTACCTTAACAGGAAGATGCTTATTTGCAGCATACTATAGGCTGAAATAGCTCTTGGTGGATGAATAGATCAAAGCCTCCTGTTATGCAGTAATCAAATGAAGTCACTCTCCTTGCCTTATATTGTGGTGGGGAGCCCTACAGGCACAGACTTCTATGTGTACAGGCTTCCAGCAAGCTGGAATTCCAAAGCTGACACACACAAGCCTCACAACTACTGATATCCATAGGAAATGAGGTCATCTTGTACCCAGCGTGACCACTTCATGCACTGGCTGTAGGTAGTGGGCTGAAAGACATCACAAATGAGGATGAAGGATATATGGAGAGTGCCGGGCAAGCACAAGCATTCTTTTCCCTGGAACTTTTGCAGCAACCAAGCACAAGCTGGCTTTAGACAGATAATGCCTGTATTTTTCATAAAAGGAAGGGATAGAGGATTGTGTTTGCTATTTTATCAAAATGAATTTGTTTGTTTTATATATAAAAACATGAAAGTTCAATGCAAAATAATAAATGTTTCTTTGTTATCATTTTCTGTCCTCATCATATGATGTTCCTGTGAGCATTGGTCAAAACTGAAAGAAGAGGCAAGTGAACAGAAAGGCAAGCCATAAAGATAAGCAGTGCTTCTATTTTAATCCCAGCAACATTTGCCACTGCTAAAAAGATAAGCCGTTTGAGTTTAAAAAGAGCTGCTGCGATGAAATTAAATGTATCTGTCAGCATGACTTTTTCCTCCACTATCTGTTCTTTTCTTAGATCCCAACTTTTAGTGGCACTATAAATTTTCAAGTGCATATTGTTTAATATCATCAAGCTTACACGTACCCAAACATGCATACATCACTGTCAATTTCCTGTACTTGCTAAACAGGAAATTAATTTTTTCAAGTGGGTCTTTGTGCAAGTTATCATACAACCTGATAGCAAGGTTAAAGCCAACATTTATTACTATTATAATTTCATTTAAAATTAAATATTCACCATTGATATCAGATACTCTGCCAGTTCACAGTGATCAAACAATGCCGCCCTATGGGAAAAATGAAAAGCAAACCAGAATATTACAATAAAAGCACATTAGTGCTAGGAACTTTTTCCCCTGACAACCTGACAAGACTATATTAAGGCAGCTTCAGACTTTGGTTACTATCACCCGTGTGTATATAATCTTACAACTGTGATGTTCTTCTGTTCTTCTTTACAGTGGCAATGAAGAAATTTCTTTCTATGACATGTATTTTTCATAAAATGAAAAAAATGATTATGCATGAACACAAAAGGAAGACAGTAATGCTTACTGACTTAAACTTAAGTTGCTTACTCCAAGTGAATCAGCAGGGAGAGCAAACAAGTGTTCAGTAGGCATTGCCCAAAGAGCTAAAGAACAATCTGAATTTATATAGATGAGGTGGAAGATAGTTATGATTTTACAGAGTGAAATTTGTGCTCGAATCCTCCTTCCTCCATACCTTGCAGCTGGGGTGGGGGAAAAAATCACACTGACTGCCTCTTCTAGGTTGGAAAAGCAACTCTGGAGATAGGGTTAAGGGGTAGTTCTGGAGAGCAGGCAGGGGAGGAGATTTGGGCCACCAAGATATGAAATAAACATAGAAACAGAGAAACAGAGCGAGTCAGAAGGGATCTCCCAGACCATCTAGTCTGACCCTTGGCTCCATCTGATGGCACTTCGTTGTCCTCTCTTCACCTTCCATGTGCCTTAGTTAGGTGGCTAAAAATGGCCATTTGGATGAATGCAGCGCTGGAGGTGTGGGGAAGAATAGATTACCTGTACTCTTCCTCCCACTCAAAATTGGATGCTTATAACCATTTGAGTTCAGGGGTTTATGAGTAATGAGGCAATCCATATGATTACTACAGAGTCTACTACTTTAATATTGAATTTTATAACCATATTTTAATTTGCAGCCAGAGTGGGTTGTCAATTTATTGTGTAATTTTATTTGTGTAAGCCGTCCTGAGGCTCTTGCAAAGGATGGCATACAAATATCTTAAATAAATAAATAAATAAATAAATAAATAAATAAATCTACTACTACTACAGATCACTACAGAGTCCTAATCATGACTGGTGGTCAAATTTAAAATGGACTTTTTGAAATCTTGAGGAAAATATAATAGTACGAAAGTGACAGAGGGTAATACAGTGAAATTAAGCAAAAGCCTAACCTGTGAAGCAAAGTTTCCTTATTTCCATCTAATGCATCAATGATAGGTTCATCGCCTTCATAAGATGACATCATCAGTTTAAGAATTTCAGTAGCTCCTTGGGTAGCAGCAAAATGAAGAGCTGTGCATTTGTCATTCTATAAGGGAATACAAAGCACAAAATCCCACTCATAATCCCTATTCCAGCATCAAATGTTTTAAAGTCTCTGTAAAGATCTAGATTCCTAATTGTATGGACTTGAAGTTTAAACTCAGAGTCCAGGTCACAGGCTCATATACATATATATATTCATTTTGCCTCTTAAGCACAGTTTATAATAAGTAAGAAACATTTGAATGTGCATGCATAAAAAGGTGAGGGGAGATAAAGAGCTGAAAAGGTGAAAGAAAGAGAAAGACTCATAGAATTTTTATGTTTGGAGAGCAAACTGCATTCACATGTATTCACATAATAAGCACACATATTAAGTGGTTTAGCTACAGTAGTTATCTAAGGATAAAGCAATTAACCTCAAATAAATACCCACTAAATTTAGTGTTACACAGCTAGGCATAAATCAACAGATATTTAAAACTGCCAAACCTTGACTAGATGATGTCCCAAATAATTAAATGAACATTTATTTTATTACCGCTCACCTGCTTCAGATCAATTTGCGCTCCATATTCAATGCACATTTTAATCATTTCCAAGTCTCCACTCTGAACTGCTAGATGAAGAGGGCTGCACTTTCCAGTGTTAGTAAAATTGATGTGACTTTTAGGAGAATAACCTAGGACTTCACCTTAAGAATGAATAAATGTGCTTACAAAGTGCAGGTAATGATGTTTCAAAGAAGGAACAGTTAATACATTTTCCCCAAATTTTTCCTATCTTTATTTTGCCAAAGCAATTCCTGTTGCTACATGATTCATGCAGATATATTTAATAAGATATATAAACTAATGTTATGAACACAATAAGGTAATAAGCACTGCATGCAAAGAACAAATTTGCCCCGTGTGACATGATTTTGTTCAGCTTAAATAAGTAATCAAATGCATTTGTGCTTCTAGGACTAAGGGCCAAGGTTTCATAGAGACCTTTTTCAGAAATATTACTAAATCCTTGTGTTCCTATGCTTTCACTGTCCTCCTCCCCTGGTACAACTGCAAGGGGATCGGAATTTTATGCTTTCATTTTATGTTAGCCACAGTTTAGTGTGGAGAGAAAGAGAAAGTACATGAGGGGAGAGAAAGAGAAAGTACATGAGGCCAAGACTTGCTGCAGCCCATAGTTTTATCATAGCCCAGTGATTCAAAGCATAACAGGTTGGACTGCATACATATTCCCACACCTAACAGAAAGACTACGTTAGTTTGTCCATTTAAACAACCAGTTCAAATAATAGCAAAGCATAGGGACAGGGACCTCTTCTCTCAAAATACAGCATTCCAGGATGGATACCTCAGTCTCTGTATCTGAAATGGAAGAAGAGGCAGGGCTGGTATTTTTAGATAAAATTCCAAGGAAGTGAGTTTCAAGATAAACCAAGTGGCTGGTGAGAACAAGACCATGCCTGGTTTGTGGGGAGACACTGTGGAACAGGGAGGGCCAGAGGGAGCTGGATGTAACCTAATAAGCTCTAACGTTTGACACTAAGTCCAGAGAACTAGCTGATTAGGTAATTGGGAGGCCAGCATTCCCACATCTGGCCTCCCAAGCAGCAAGAACATCCCTGAGAATAGTATTAACGCCATTTGATGAAGAAAGGAGGAGAAAGGTTCATTTTGGAATCAACTAACATGTGCAGAACTCAATTTCAAATCATGGAATCATAGAACAGTAAAATTGGAAGGGGCCATGAAGGCTATTGGGTCCAACCCCTGCTGTTGCAGGACACCAATTCACACCATCCTATTCAGATGGCTGTCCAGTTTCTTTTCGAACATTAGCTAGCTCATTAACTTGATGCATGCTTCTTGTTAATAACCTTTACATTACCCTCTTAGTATCACAGTCAGTCCTGGATGTCCCACATTAACACAATAAAAGAATACTGTTAGGAACCTATTGTCTTTATCTGCTGGAAAAAGAAAAAGACAGAACTTGTGGGGAAGAGACTGGTACTGAACTCAAAGTAAAATCGATCACATATCTGCCCGCCTCCAAGCTGAATATCTATTATCAGAGTATGGCCAATTGATAGTTGTAACCATGAGAAATATATAATCCAAATACAGTCTACATTTTAAAAGAACAGGGCCTCAATGAGTGCTACTTTGATTGAAATATGCATTATAGGAAGATTTACAAAGTGTATTTACCCCTTTTTATAATAATTTCCATGCATAATTTTGCACCAGAAAATGCAGCTGCGTGGACTGGCATGCAGCCTATACTGTTTGCTTTACATATTTTACCACCATTTTCAATCTGAAAGAAAGTGATCAGATAATTAATGACAATTTCTGAACATTTCATAAGAAGTACCTAAACTATCACATAGTCTCCTATTTGCATTTTACTGGATTGCAACCAGTCCTAAAAGAAATGCTAAGCACTTGCCTTCTGATAGCAAAAGGAACTTAGATATCCCTCACACAGATATCAGGTCTGGAATCTATGGTGGATTTGGGTCTAAAGGTTAACATTTGGGACATGAATTATTGAGAACATTGGATGGTAAGCTCTTTTGCTCATTGAATGGCTTCCATCCACTGAAAGGGGGCAATCCTCTTTCCCCACACCCTCCAAATCTGCTCTGAAGGGTTGGAAAAGCTTTCAAAACCACAATGGTATCTTTCAGTCTATTCTAGGATTTATAGTAGTCTATGATCAGCAACTTGTAGTAATATCAAGTTTTTAATATAAAAATATGAAAGGTTGATGAAAATAGTACTTTATTGGTGAACAAAGATACACCAACAAAATATTAATTATTCTACTTACCAGGAGTTTCAGTGCTTCAGGATTATCTTTATAACATGCGACTAATATGGGTGTGTTCCCACCCTCACCTTCTAGGTTTACATCTGTACTGCTGTGTTCAATGAGAACCTAAATATTAAAATAGAATTTAAATGTTTGACTCTGCTACCACATGATTGCTGTATTGGTCTTAGGCATAACTGCAGAAATCTGCTGTTTATTTGTTCATATTTATTGACATGCCCGTTCTACAAGAACATCGGTAACTACAAAACAAACCATGAACTACATGGTCCCAACCTGGATTGTAGATCCTGGCCTGAACATAAAACCTGTTTAACTGAGTAAAACCTGCCTGGATATATTTGCTGTACCCCCTCACAAGTCTGGCCACACTTCTCATACTAGCTAGAGCTTCACATATAGCACACATTTAATGAACAAAGCCTAGATACTGCATTCAACAGCATGAATGATGGTAGCCAAGGATAAAAAGGCCTCATCCTATAAACTGAATGTTCTTCTTTTAGTTTTCCAGGATGCCCTAACCAACATCACTTCTGACTTGTCTAGATACTCAGTCAATTTGTGCATGTTTTCAGTTTGGGCAGGGGCTAATTAAAGGACTGGCCAAGCTACACTTACCCTATGCTTAGGTATATAGTCAACAGAATGTAGCATTCTTCATCTATGATACAGTACAGCAGAAGTAGGCAACCTGATGCTTTACAGATATTTTAGATTACAGTTCTCACAATCCCTAACCACTAGCCATGCTGGCAGGGGCTGGCAGGAGATGTAATCAAAAACATTTGGAGGATACCAGACATAGAACAGCATCTTGCAAAATCCAAACTCATTTATTTCATCCAGTTGTACATCTTTAAATGTTTTTGCAACTGTTCATACAGTTCAACCATGAGTATTCAATTAATTCATTTACATGCATAAAGGCTTCCTATTTAGCTTTACCTTAACTAAGTCATTGTAAAGGCACTGTGCAGCCAAATGAAGTGGAGCCATTGCATTGGAATTAAGAATGTTTGGGTTAGCTCCTCTGCTGAGAAGTAATTTAACACTTTCAATCTGGTTCTTTTTTGTGGCCCAGTGCAGCGGTGTATTTCCAGAGGAATCAGTCACATTTAGTGCTAGGGAAAAGGGTAGGAAAATAGAAGGTATGTTACATCACATTTTTACTTCACATAAAATCACTGATGCTAATAACATCACTTTAAAAACATTTGCAAATGCAGGTGTCAATGTAACATACCAATGAAATACCCACTTTCCAGTAGATACATTAACATCTGGACTCTGTGTTTAAGACATCAAATATCCATGAGTGCATGGAAGACATTCCCCTGTGCTCTATTATCCTCCACAATCACCCCATGGACATCACAAGAAAAGATGACAGAAAATTAGGACAGAAGTCACCATCAGAGAGCGATGGACTCACCTCACAACATGGGGCTTCCTTTCCACAATTTTACCCCTGCAGAAGAAATATGATTTGAGTGTCTCTAGGACCATAATAACCACTGATGCACTGCATCAGTAGCAATTTGGGACTAAGTGGAACTGGTACAACACCTGTACTTTTTAAGTCCTTTTCACAGATGTCTTGTGACAGCTTCCTTGCTGGTTCAGCAATTGGATCCTACCATTTTGTCTCCATTTCTCTGTTGGACAGCTCCCTAGCTGCCCAGGGGTAACAAAGGGATTCCTACTTAATGTGAAACAATTGTTTGTCTATCTTTCTTCACAAACTTCTCCATCCCTAACTTCCTTAACTGTAGAAGCCAATTTGCTGTTACATCCAAACTGCGCAAATGATTATTGGTCCAACTAACATTTGCCCAGTTTAGATATAGCAGCAGTCTATGATTTGCTAAAACCCAAGTGGTTAGGGAGGGAGTTGGAACATGCAAGGGAAGAATGGGGGGGGGGGGGATGAGCAAGTGTGTAGCCTTAGAATGCAAAACCCATGCCAAAACTTTATTTTTATCTCATTTAAAATAATTAGCTTTCTTGGAGCACAAAAATCCTGTAATGAAAGTATATGTATGCACATGCATAAAGAGAGATGCATGCTGTAATTTAAGAATGCATTTATGTCACCTTCAACTGAGGAACCATCTATAATCATTTGCATTAACTCAAGTTGGCCATTTCCTGCAGCATGATGCAATGGAGTGGCATTTAGGTCATCCAGTTTCTTAAGTCCATCACGATTCTTCTTAATGAAGCTTCGTAGTCTACAAGTACTTCCATCTGAGATAACCTAATTTTGGATTAAAATATTTGTAAAGTTTGTTATTTTCAAGATAACATAGTACTTGTAACTGGCCTGAAAAAAAAAAGTTGGCTGCATCTCTGAGGTCACAACAGCAACCTCAGAGACAGGCTTTGGGGGATGCTCTGGAAAGCAGGGAAAGGAGGAGACTGGCATAACCGAAATATGATTTAACTTGGTGATTCATCAGCCTCTTCCTCTCCTGCTTTTACTCTTTGGAGAATCTATCTGATTGTTCTTTGAGAAATGAACCTTTCTGAGTTCTTCTGGAAAAGCCTGGAACTTTCCATTCTTGGAATTCAAACTAAAGCTCTGGTTATACCCTATGAAAGCTTTTGCCAGAATATAGAGATTAGTTTTTTAAGCTTTTTTGTTGCAACAGGCTAACAGAACACTACTCCTGGGGTGCGGTCGGGATTCTGGCAGGATTTCTCCTATGTTTGTCAGGAAAAGCTTCAACAGGTGCAGTTGTTTATGAGACCAGATACACAATGAAGGGAAAAGTTGCCTCCTGGATTTCTGCATTTCAAAAAGACCTGATGGGCCATTCATATTGTGTTCTACATTTTTAAGGTGAAATTCTATGCACGTTTAGAGTGAAAGAGAGAAACTTACAACTCCCATCATGCATAAGAGAGCATCCTTAATTACTTGTTAGCACCTCTTCCCCCGCCCCCCACAATAAAACATTTGCTCTTGGCATTTTGAAAAGACGAGAAACACATAAATAGAGCCTTGGATCCAAACGAGGATTGCCCCAGTCTTTCTGAAAGAATGGACATACCTGAAAGCAGCGCACACCTCCTCCTCCCCTCCCCCACTTCTCCAAGGGGCGGCTGCTTCAGGCTGGACTCGCATACGCGCTTACCTGGGAGCGTGCCCCACTGAACTCACGGGGACTTCAGACGTGCAGCGGATTGCGCTGGAGCCTGGCGAGCTCTTTACCTTGAAAACGTCCTGCGAGGCCACTGAGGCCGCGTCGGCTTCGCGCACGGCCCCTTCGAAGGAGGTGCTGCACTTCTTCTGCCCGGGCTGGAGCCACTTCAGGATGGCGCGCCTCATGGCTGGGGCGGTCGCGGCGAGGCTCGCTCCTCCAGGGGATGGCTTTCCGTCCGCCTTCCCGGGGACCTGCGAAAGTCGTCGCAAACAGCCGCCGAGTCAAGGAAAGGGAGAAGTTCGACGCGGCTACGGCACAGACCATCCGCTTCCCCGCCCACGGCGCAAGGGGACCCAGAGGTGCCTCTTCCACGGAGAGGTGGGCGGGGATTGGTCGGACCCGGCGCGCCTTTGGTCGGACCCGGCGCGGACCCGGCGCGCCTGCGTCGCTCGTGAGACGCAGGCTGCAGCCGCGTTTTCCTCCTCGGAAATGTGCCCGAGACCACGAGCCGTGGTGGGTACTCGGAAGATCCGGGGTTCATTCCCATAGGAAAATTAAACACACAAATTTGCATGTGCTAATTCGCATGTGCTCTAAAACCTGCGGGTATCCCTAAAGGACCCGGTCTTCTAAGTTCAAAGAGGAACCCTGTTTGTATAATGAAGTTTTGGAGAGGGGAATGGGGTCATTTCATTTTAGGAAAAAAACCCGAAGCAGAATATTCGGGAGTAGGGCAGCAGGAGATGAAGCACAGGTGGCAAAATGGGGATCAGATACCACAGATCATCAGCAAGTGCCCATGGGCAGGGTGGGGGCCTCCCAGAGAGTCGGAGCTCCAAACAGAAGACTGGCATTGCATCTCTAGAAGGCCACCCTCTAATACCATCTATGCCTGAGATGCCAAAAGGTGTTTGTCTCCAGCTTCTCAGGCATTCTCTGTGTTGCTTTTTAGTCTTAAATCCTGCTCATTTTTAAAGATCTGCTCTAACTAGACCTAAACATTAACTGTGCCCTGATTTGGAGACATGTGGCAGTCTCCCCTTGGGAGCTGTGGGATGCAGTCCAGTGGAAGAGCAGAACAGAGCCGGATGGAAGCAGGGTGCTACCAAATGCAAGGAGTGGGAGGTGGATCCTACCATCAGGTAAATATCAAAAACCACAGTTAGGCAATACAGTGACTGGAAACAAGCAATCAAAACCATGTGTAAGCTTTTAAGAGCTTTCCTGGCACAAGATATTTGGAGAAGGATGAAATATGGTGGGGCAAGGCTATTCTGATGTTGAAGTCTCTGCGTGTAGAGTTTTAATCTGGAATAAAGGGGAAGGGTTTGGATGTGTTTCTCTTATCTCCTCTTCCCTCCAGTTGCCAACAGGACATGACTGCTCTGAGATTTTGTGGAGATGTCCCTAGGGCCAGGGCTGGATCCAAGATCTTCACCACCCTTATTGCTTTTTCTCTTCCTTCTCTTTTTATCATTGCTTTCTCCTACAGAGAGGCAGCCCACATAGCTCTGTTGACAAGCATTTGTCCTTTGTCTGGCCAGACTGAGAGGTGGATAAGTGAGCAGGTTGCAGTGGTGAAAGAAGGAGCAAGTCCAAGCAGATCTTATCAATGAGCTCCTGTTCTTGTTTGGGCCCTTGGCAGCAGCCCAGCCATGCTTGCTCCCGATACCAGTCCTGCCTATGGCTACACCTGGAGGGCAAGGAATTCTCAGCATCCAGAACTTGCATTCTGGCACCTAGTATGTATTTAACTATTACAAGGTTTCAGAAAGCATTAAATGCCCACTGCTTATTTTCTCTGAGGCATTACATGGATGAAAGGGAAAACTGAAGCACACAAAACAGCCTAATACCCAGTCTTAGAACTTGTCCATCTAATCGACTGATGTCCACTCTAAATGGATGATGTTTTCTAGGGCCTTGAACTGAGAGAGATCCTTTCCATCTCCTACTCCCTGATCCTTATAACCACTGAAGATGCATGGAACTGAATATGGGATCTTCTGCACCTGACACAGGTGTTCTACTGATCTGCCAACTCAATGTTCTTTCTTATATTCACTCAGGTATCTGTATCTCTCCACTGCCAGAGCCCCCTACTCAGTTGTTCAGTGTGTTTGGGTATGATGTCTGCTTGAAAAGCAGTCTAAGGGGGAAGAGTTAGTCCTTCTTGTTTAGCACCACAGTTCCAATCAAAATCAGCCAGAAATCTCTCTCTATCCCTACCACTCAATTTTTCACAGGTTTAAGAAAAGAGGTCATATTATAGACACCCATCACAAGTTTGTTTTATTTATTCATTATTATTTATTTTAATTTATATCTTGCTTTTTCTGCAATGAGCTTAAAGTGGCTTTCGTAAGTCTCCTCTTATTCCCACAACAACTACCCTGTGAGATAGGTTGGGCTAAGCACCTATGACCTGCCCAAAGTCACCCAGTTGGCGCCATTGCTGAGTGGGGACTAGAACCCAGATTGCCTTAGTCCCAGTTCTATGCCCTTAATGACTACAGCACCCTGGCTCTCTTCAAAAGGTATGCAAGCCTAGAATTGTTTTGCTGTTGCTTCAGACATCTTTTCACAGGAAAGTGCTTGGAAATATAAACTTAACAAGTACAAATAGGCAAGTAAATAATAGCAAAACTTTGACCCATACCCTACCCCATATGCAAAAACATTTTGTTCCTAAATTCAGCAAGAGATAAACAGTTTAAACTACGTACTTGTTTTCTTACTGTTTCCAAAAAAGAGTATTAGCTTAAATACAGTTCTCAGTGGTGGTGAGCTGTCCATCCCTCGAGTCCAAACACTTATGTTTCTCACATCTATGGGAAGCCCACAATCAGTACAAGTGTGTTTGGAATCAATGATGCATTCAGTGAGGACAGATAACTTTGTCCATAGGAGATAGAACTGATCATGGTGGCTAGAATGATGTGAGCTGCAGCCCCCAAGTATCTAGAAGGCCACGAGTTACCTATCTTTGACCTAAAGGTTCAGATTCATAGCTTGGGGGTACACATGGGCCTGATAGCCCCTCACCCCACCACTGGATTACTGAGTAGTGGCTGTGGCCTCAGGTTCTTTATAACACCTGCCTACCATTGATACTGAAAGATAGAGAGCAGATGTCTACATTTGCTTGCAATAATAACAAAGCTGCTGTTGAAGATAATTCAGGATCTTCAGTTATAGGAGAATGCTGCAACCCATTGTATCAACATTCTTAGATTCCACCTTCTTGACAATATCTGCTCTGGTCAATTTCTCAGTGAAATTCAAGGTACTGTGTTGGACTTATGAAGCTTACAATCTGGAATCTGATTATATCAGGAAATATTTCTTCTGGTATGACTCCTATTGCATCTTCAAATCAGAGATATGAAACTCTTGTGAGACGAAAACTATAATGTGTAGAATTTCTGCCATTGTAGATCTAGAACTTTGCAATTACTTCACATGGGAGGACATGGTTCCGCCTCTCCACTCTTCTTGGAATCAAATTAAGCATTTTTTTTCCTTGGGTTTTTGAGAGCTGAGTCTACAAGCACCTTTTTTCATCTGCTCTTTGTTCATGCATTGGTTTTACATGTCTTGCATTACATCTCTGGTATTTTTAATTTTTAATAGTTTATTACTTTTAATTATTTGATCATGTGTTGTTTTTCTTTTCTTTTTTGAGGGAGTTCAGTTGCCCCATTCATTTGCTACAGTTGATTCTACAGAGATTTTCCACAGTAGCCCAGGACACTCATTCATCATCATCATCATCATCATCTTGCCTTCTTCCTCTTGTATGGAACCTGGGGTGGCTAACATTGTTTCATTTTATCCTCATAACAGCTACCCTGTGAGGCAGGTAGGCTGAAATTGATGGGTGGCCCAAGTCACCCAGTGAGCTTCATGGCTGAAGGGAGACTAGGAGCTGGATCTCTCAGTGCAACACTCTAATCACCACACTGCGCTGGCTCTTAGTTTTGCTTTCAGGATGCAATTGTTTCTCTAGCAGTAGACAGCAGTGCAAATACAAGTGGCATGTATGAGAAGATAGATAGATAGAAAGATAGATAGATAGATAGAGATATAGATATCATTCACAGAGTGGTTTATTCATGGGCCTTATCTGGTGTTGCCTTTAAGCCAATGGAACAGACACCACTGGGGCCCTGCATATCTTCTTTCCCTCTGTAGGCCTCACACTTCTCCCACATCTCTTTCAGAGGCTTGGAAGATCCTCCAGGACGTGGAGAAAAAATGAACAGAAATGCCTGTTATTGAACAGAAGTATGCCCTTGCAGTGTTGTATTTGGTCCCATGTCTACTAGTGCCCTTGAGTTTCAAGTTTTCTTTCAGATAAGGTTATAAAGTTGTTATTATTTGAATAAGTGACATTGTTACCTATATCAAGCCATTAGAGGGGTTGCACTGTGCAGATACATTAGTAACTCTATCTTGCATTGCAGAGACTGTTATTAAAAGGTTGCTGTTAGAAACACAAGACTACAATGGTTGTTTTAATATGCATTTAACTTTTCATGCATGGTTAATATTTTAGTTCATTTGATCTTGACTAATTTAGTTTATTACTCTAGACTAACAAGAGGACTAGATTCACAGAAGAAGGAACACTTGGCATTGGCATTTTTGTTAAAATTTTTGTTAAAATTTTTAGGTAAGATTGCACTTTAAAAATCAGTATGAGTTTGGAAACTTAATGTAATCTTAAGGTGAAATTCTGAAAATGTGATAGGGAAAACTAAAAAAAAAGTTCCTAAAAAGAATCAAATTAAATTATAAGCTTACTGAACAGAGTTTTATATTTCTTCATACTGCATTCCTATCAGAAGCTAATTCAAATTATTTGGCAAGTTGTAGGCAGTATAGTTTTCCCTTGAGTGGAGAGAAGACACTTTTATACATTTCCTCGCAGATATGAGCTCACTAATGGTAAAACAAGGGGCCCATTAGGATAAGTAGTATTCAGCAAAGATAACAATAGCAAACCTTCAACGAAAATGTGACTGTTTAAGACATGAACTACATCTACGATAAGGACCCAATTCTGCCAGAATTAAAAACTTGCTAGTGCAATACTTTGTGACCCTACACAGAAGTAAGGACAACTGAGTTCAATGGAACTATGTATATAATCACTAATCAAGCTAGAGCTGAGGAAATCAGT